AAAAAAAAAAAAAAAAAAAAAAAAAAAAAAAAAAAAAAAAAAAATTACTCCCGCAAAATACTTAGAACAAAACTCTTCATACATATATTTATTTATTTTAAAATAGGGTCCCACTTTGCAGTCCAGGAAGGGCTTGGCTTGAATTTGTAATCCTCCTGCCTCAACCTCTTGAATGCTGGACCATTTCTGTATAAAAGTTGCACTGATGCCTTGGCCCATATCTAAAATGTTCTGGCACTTGAACACAAAGTACTAGAGATGTTTAAAGAATAAGGGTCAGTTGGGCATAGTGGCTCAAACCTGTAATCCCAGCATCCAGGAGGCTGAGGCAGGAGGATTGCCATGAGTTTGACGCTAGCCTGAGCTACATAGTTCAAAGCCAGCCTGAACTACACAGAGAGAGCCTGTGTCAAAAAAGAAAAGAGAGAATAGAGTTCATTTCAAAAGCACTAAAAGAATCTTCTAGTCTTATTCAATTTGAATTTGCTTTTTTGAGAATTCATTTTGCTTCTAGTATTTCAAGGAAACTGGAACTGCTGGGCTGATCTTGTGAGGGAGCTTGGGTTGGGGGGCACTGGGTTGGGAGAGACTGGGTCTGCGTGACCAGGGTAGGTCTGATGACAGTGCGAAGCAGGGAGCTGCAGTTTTCTGACATTAAATATTAACACTGGGTATTAATAATGAAGGCTGCCAGTTCCTTTTGCAGTGTTGCTGAGGATGGCTTTCCCTAGCCTGCAAGCCTGGTAGGCTTCTGGCCCTTCCCCGCCCGTGCAAAGTGGCCAGTGCCTCTGTAGGCTGAGGTCAGGAAAGGTAAGGAAAACAAGCCTGTGTTGTCACCCAGAGAGGCAGGACTGGCAGGCAGGGTCCAGGGCAACACCACTCACTACTCAGAGCCTATTGTCCTCCTGGTCTAGAGGAAAGCAGCAGGGTGGAGGGAAAAGCAGGAGGTGGATGCATGAGATGGAACGGACCATGGGGCTGGGGAGGAGCTGCCTCCTGCCACAGGTCCCTGGGGAAGCAGCTCTGGGAGCCCCAACACTACTCTTGGGGTGGCTCCCATTCCTGTGGCCTGGTGGCTTTGTTTGCTGCATCATCATCTCCCTGTTCAGGGTCAGGAGGCCCCAGCTGGAGAGGTGGGTGGCAAAGCATGTGCCACACACACCGTGTCCATGTAAGCCTGGGCCACACAGCCCCTGACCATGCAGCCTTTGGCTGTACAGGCCCGAGCCCCACACACTCTGATCTTGATGAGCCTCACCTTACCTGGCCACCTCTGGTTTCCCTGCGTGCTCCAGGGTGTCACCAGCACTAGCCTGCAGGCTGGCTTAGCATTGGTGGATATGGACAAAAGAAGACCGAGGCAACCTTGACCTTAGGTCCAGGGAGCTGGGCTGGCTGAAGCCTGTGCTTGGAGCTGGAAAATTAAACACTCCATGATCTCTTGCACAATAAAACACACAAGGACTCAAATGTGAAGTAGCCCCCCATTTTCCACGCTCCATTTATGGATGATTGTGTATTCACTTGGAATTAATAAAACCCTGTCTTATGTATGGACATTTCCCCCCTTTCCTCCCCAGGAGGTGGGTGGTAAAGAGCAGAGGAGGAGCCTGGTTTGGCGTCCCAGGCCTCTGATCCCAGCTACTCTGGAGGATGAGACTGGAAGATTGAAAGTTCCAGTCCAGCCTGGGCAATTTATTGAGACCCTGTATCAAGGTTAAAAAAGAAAGGGTTGAGGATGTAGCTCAGTATTCCCTGGGCTCAAAACCCAGTTCTTGGGGTGGGGCGTGCAGGGGGGATCAGAGGATAGGCACAGAGAGATCCATTCTGCTTTAAGGCAGGGGCCAGAATTTTAGGTGTCTCCCTTCAGTGCTAGTACCTTGCTCTGAGGAGAAGAAACTCATTCCCTGAGGAACAGTCATTGCTTCTCAAGAAATTGGTCTTACATGGAAATCTTCCAGTGGCCCAGGGACCTGAGGCTGTGGCTGAGGCCTCTGCTCCTGGCTGGCTCTTCCTCCCATCCAGGTGCCCCCTTGGTTGGTTCCTGCCTGGCTGTACTGGGTGCAAGGAAAGAGGAGGTGGGGCTGGAAGGCTCCATCAATAGTGGTAATTAATTGGGCTTGTGGTTGTCTCATACCTCTCGTTTGAGGCCGTACAGGTGCTCCACAGACATTAATTAATTAGGCCTCCCGCGCCTCCTGTGGGCTTTGGACAGATGTCTGATTCCGGGGCACTGCCTTCCTGATACCAGGGCAGAGCGAGAGTGGTTTGGCTGGATACATCATGTCACCTGAGCCACCATGGTCAGGGAGGCCTGAGCAGATGGGGATTCAGTTATTAGCCGTGCTGGTGGGACTGCTCTGGAAACATACTTGCACAGTGTTCCCAAGCCTAAGCTTCCTCCTGAACCTGCTCTGTGGAGAGCTCCATTTCACCCTATCCAGGGAGCAGCTGCTGGGTCTGAAGCTGAATAGACATTGCTGCCTTCCCAGACAACTGCTCACCCATGCAGCTCATGCAGGAGCACAGAGGACCCAAGCCTTCCTCGGGGTGTGGAAAACCATTGGGAGGAAAGAAAAGGTTATTTTCGCAAGCAAAAAAGTTAATGAGTAATAGTTTCTGGAATTTCTCTTCTGAGAATATAACCTAGTCAGCTTTAGGCTTCTGGCCTCTGACTAATTGTTCTCAGTAATAATACAGAACACCTTCATAATAATACAGCCTTTTGTGTGTTCAAGAAAGTAGCAATTTATTCAAGGCAAGACCAAAAAAAAAAAAAAAAAAAAAAAAGGGTTTTTATTCCTCTAAAAAAAAAAAAAAAAAAAAAAAAAAAAAGGTTTTTTATTCATCCTGATACCTGCCCACCCTAGAGATCAAATAGTGAGGAGGCAGGCTAATAAGTGGGGGCATTCTGGAGGTCTTTAATGAGTGCCTCTGGCATGCCCAGAAGTGTGTGTGTGTGTGGGGTGTGGTGCCACGAGGGAGACAGAATAAAGAAGCACTAAGAGCTGAGAACATTTTCACAAAGATGAGCCCTAAATTCATGCTGCCCTTATTTTCCTTAGAGTACACTTTTTTTAGTACTGGGGATCAAACTCGGGACCTTGTGCTTGTGAGGCAGGCAGTGGAACCACTGAGCTAAATCCTTGGCCCCTTAGAGTGTACTTTTGAAAAAGTTGGTGGCTTGATATTCAGCCACATTTAGATGTGTGATAGCACCTTTTCCAGACTCCCTTGCAGCTAGGGTTCCAGGTGTGAAAAGATTCAGCCAATCTGATGTTCTTGAATTTGTATCTCTGCTAAAGGAAGAGGAGAAAGCATTTTTCTGCTGTGGAGCATGGCCTGGGCCACATGGCTCCAAATTGGCAGTGAAGGCTTCTAGTTGTGTCTTGGCTCCCTGGTGGTGGCAGATCTGTTCTGTGGTGTGGTTTTGGGAAACTTTTCTGTAAGCTCGGTTGTCTTTTGCTTTGACAATGCTATACACTAACCCTCAAGAGCTTCCAACAATACATACTTGTCACCCAGTGGCTCCATAGTGGGATGACAAAGGCAGGCCTGCTCTGTGCCCTGTTCCTCACCCTCCAGCAGTCCCTGGGGAGGCTCATCTCCTCCTACCTCTGCTACCATCCTATTGGCCAAATCACATGACAGTGTCAAGGGACCAGAGCAAGTCAAGCACCCACAACAGGAAGGGACATGGAAATTCCACCCAGAGGGATGGATTTGGGAGGGGGAAAGAATTGAGGCCATCAAGACAGAGTTTCCCAAAGTCACCTGAGCAAGGAATGCCTTTGTTCCTCCAGCTGGATACCTTGGATCTCATAACATGACAGGCAGGAAGGAAACCCAGGTTGAAGCTGTTGCGACACAGTTTCCGGCCTCTGATTCTGCACTCTGTGTGGCTTCAGGCAGGAGCTGATAGGGGGTGGGGATCACACTGATGCAGCTTGCCCAGAGGCTGCACAGCATGGAGACTCCAGTCCCCTGTGGAACAAGCTCTTTTCAAAGGGTTCCTCTCCAGTTCTTCTGGTGATGCCCATCTTCTCCACCCCAGCCTGCTAGACATGTGCTGTGCCATAGTTGGGGGTGAGCAGAACCTTCTGGAAGCATTATTTCCCAAGTTGGAGGAGTTTGAGGAACTGTCCAGCTGGACCGGTAAATTCATTTCTCGTGTGTTGTCACTCCAGGAAGGTGCTTTTGGGGCATGACTTTGGGACAGGCTTCCTTAGCCTGGGCACGGGGCCACTTGGCCCTCGGCTCTTGGCTGGGGGCCAGGTTCCGCCAAAGAAGATGCAGTCAGGGCTTTGAGGGTTGGGGTTACCCTCATAGCCAACCTAACTGAACCCTCCCCACGCCCCTCTGCCCAGTGAGGAGCTAAGCCCCACAGGCCCTGTGCCTGCCAGCTGAACTTGGAAGCTAACTGCCCTTATTTCGCCTGTCAGGTCTGAGTGCCAATGCCAGCTGGAACTCCTGCAGTGTGACAGCCTGGGGACCGAGGCAGCCCGCGCACCCACCCAGCACTGCTCTGCTTTTCCAATTGGAATCCATCAGCAGCTCCTCCTGCCTTCCCCCTAGGCGCGGTGGAAAGGTTTCCTGTTTATGCCTCGCTTGAGAACCCACAACGGAGAGAGGTGGGGTTTCCGACCTGCCTTCGGGGCTGGATCGGTTTTATCAAAGCCCACCCGACCCCCTCGTAACTGCCCTGTGGCTTTGGGGGCGGTGGTGGGTGGGCTCTGGTAAGGGGGAGGCGGTAGCCCGGCTTCCCGGCGGGACCCATAAATTTGGCCTTGTTAAGAAACCTGCAGGGATGGTCGGGTTGAAGGTGATCGGGTTACAAAAGCCAGCCAGGCCTTGATGGCTTCACGGGAGGCCGGGGGCGAACAAAAGACCCGCGGCCAGGGGCGGTTAGGGTGGGCCTGAGCCAGCCACCCTCGGGAGACCCGGAGTGGCCCCCAGGGGACAACCTTTAGATTAAGCAGCTGGGAGAACTGGAGTCCTAGGCGAAGACTCCCCCAGAAACACCTTTTTCCCTTTCTGGGTGGGGATGGGCCGGAAATTTATTGTGATTTTATCAAAAATAAATGCAGCAAAATTTATGCATAGAAAAAATACTGAAAGGAAACACAGTGTTATGTTACTCTTAGAAAATCCTTAGCAGGCAATTATAAGTAATTTACATTTCTTTTTATAGGTGTTTTTTTTTTTTTTTTTTTTTTTTTT